ACACACAGTTTGAAGACTTTAATGAAAAACGTTTCAATAAAATTCCCTTCTTACGATAAATAATAAAGAAAACATATTATTTGTAAACTAGTATTGTAAAGTGATATATTTGAATTTTATGTCAATTTTTTTTTATTTCTAAAGCGAATAAAAGTGATTTCTATATTAAGAAAAGCTGTTTTTATCATATAGCACGATTATTACTCAGGCATATGGATTGTAAAACGAAACCCACTTGTCTATTAGTCAAATTTGATCTACCAAAAAAAATTAAAAACAATGTCATTAATTACCATTTTCAGAGACTAGCCGTTAACGAATAATTTGAGGATTCTTCTCACTGACCTAAAGGAACTATGAAAGTATTCACACAGTGTCAAAGTACTCTCACAGCACCTAACGGAACTGTGAAAGTATCGCGCAGGATTAAAGTACATTTACAACGCCTAACAGAACTGTGAAAGTATAATACAGTATTAACGTACTTTCACAGCATCTAAGGTGAATGTGAAGGTATCACAGAGTATCAAAGTACTTTCAACTTTGAAAACAAAACAACAACAAAAAAAGTACTTTCAACTGTGAAAGTACTTTTAACTATGAAAGTATCACACAGTCTCAAAGTACTTTCACAGAACCCAAAGAAACTGTGTCAGTATCACACAGTATAAAGTACTTTCAGAACACATGGCGTAATTGTGAGAGTATATTACAGTATCAAAGTACTTGTATAGCAATGGAACTGTGAAAGTATCACACAGTATCAAAGTACTTTCAACTGTGAAAGCATCACACACTACCAAAGTACTTTCACAGTACCTAGCGGAGATGTGAAAGAACACACAATATCAAAGTACGTTTATAACATTTAATACAGTATCAAATTACAGAAATTAATACAGAATGTGTAATACAGTATCAAAGTACTTTCCCACTATCTAAGGGAACTGTGAAAGTATCATACAATACCAACGTACTTTCAACTGTGAAAGTACTTCTGGCTATAAAAGTATAACACAATAGCAAAGCACTTTCATAGCACCGGACGGAACTGTGAAAGTACCACACAGTATAAAGTACTTTCGCAACACATAACTTACACATATTTTCACAACACATAACGAAACTGTGAAAGTATAATACAGTATCAAAATACTTTCCCAACACATAACGTAACTGTGAAAGTATAATACAGCATCAACGTACTTTCACAGCATCTAACGGAACTGTGAAAGTCTCACACAGTGTCAAAGTGGTTTCACAGCACCTAACGGAACTGTACGATATCAAAGTACTTTCACAGCACCTAACGTTAACACTGAAAGCATCGCACAATATCGAAGTACTTTCACAGCACCTAAGTGAACTGTATATCATACACAATTACCTACAATAAAAGCACTTTCACAGCACCTAATAGAATTCCGAAAGCACCACACAATATCAAAGTACTTTCACAGTTCTTAACGGACCTGCACAGTATCAAAGTACTTTCACAGCATCTAACGGAACTGCGAAAGTATCCTACAGTGTCAAAGTGCTTTCACAGCATCTAACATAACTGTACAATATCAAAGTACTTTCACAGTACCTAACGTTAACATTGAAAGCATCACACAGTACCGAAGGACTTTCACAGCACCTAATGGAATTAAGAAAGCATCACACGATATCAAGTACTTTCACAGTTCTTAACGGAACTGCACAGTATCAAAGTACTTTTACAGCATCTAACGGAACTGTGAAAGTATTAGTGATCGATGAAGTCCGTTAATAATCAAGTTATGATAACTGACAAATTTTACCCCTTGAACCTTGTACATATGATTTGGCAGGTATGCAGTAGATAGCAATAACTCTGTAATAAATAACGTAATAAGTAATCCTTACAGATATCCAGCAAAAATATGCATACAGTTTATGTAGGGAAGATTGCGTAAGTCACAATCCACTGAGAAAAAATAGGTATAAATCTTAGGATCTATGAAAAAAAAAAAAAACTTATGTGGGGTAGTAAATGTAAATAACTTTTTAAAAAATAGTTTAATCCTCCAATAAGAAATGGCTGTATTAGGATGTTGCAGTAAACTGGCACTTCGTTTTTGCAAGGAAGACCCAAAAACCACAATGGCCAGGCACCCACTGGAGAACGATTTGTTTCCCCTTTAAAGAGAGAGTTCTGAGGAATTCTTGACATTGCAAAATTTCAGGTCTTGGGTGTTCAACAGAGTTAATCGACTGAAAGGATGCGTGAGAATCAGAAACAATGACTGCATTTGCAAACTTGTAATGGATAGCTAATAATTGCTTTAGGGATATACATATGGCTACAATTTCATCATCGAAGAAGGTACCAATGCAGGGGCGTAAAAAAAAAAAAAAAAAAAAAAAAAAAAAAAAGATCCGAAAACACACCAGCCCCATTTTTAAAAAGGCAGTCAAACTGGGAATCATCGGTAAAAATATGCAGCTTCTGAGTAGGATATTCTTATGAATGAAAATACATATATTTCAAATTTTATAGACGAAGAGTAGGAAGACTGGATACCTTAATAACTGGATAAATATAAAATATATCAGATAAACATAGAATTGGATTTTTAGCGATTAGTGCAAAACCCTGTGAATTGCAAAAACTTTTGCAGCATTTTATGGTTTTGCATTATTTCATTTAACGGAATACGTCATTTCCAAACTTTGCAAACAAAAGCCCATTACGTAATCCTGTCGTCTTGGGAAGAAAACCTGAAGTAACGTAATTTCATTGGTAATTACGACTTCAGAAAGGCTATTGTTTTTAAAACAATAATGCATGTTAGGCTCGGTTATTTGAGTATGACAAAGCCCACGGGGGCTCCTTTCCTAAGGGGCAGGATGCCTTCGTGGAGAACTTGCTAATAGAAAATGGTCTCTTATTTACGTTGTACATGGGAAAATTCATATTGCCAGCCCATTTGCTTGCGTTTGAAGAGGAATTATATCTTAGTTTAAACAACCATTCGTTTTATAGACAGTTTAAAACGTCATTTCTCAAGAATTTTGTAAACTTATTACAAACTGAGATAATTTCATGTATTTAATACAAAAATTCCTCATCTTCATCTCAGATAAAGAAATCTCATTAAAGTCCTTGTAAGTATTATAATTTTGAGTTAAACTAATAAATTTTGAGTTAAACTTCCTTTCCTACCGCTTCTTAATTTCAACTTACCACTTCCAGCCAGAACATAGTTTTAGAATCACGTCTGAATGCTAATGAGGAAGAGCGGTATTTAACCGCGAAGTTCTACTGTCTTAGTGAGAGAGATACCAGATATTTTAATAAATTTTGAGTTAAACTTCCTTTCCTACCGCTTCTTAATTTCAACTTACCACTTCCAGCCAGAACATAGTTTTAGAATCACGTCTGAATGCTAATGAGGAAGAGCGGTATTTAACCGCGAAGTTCTACTGTCTTAGTGAGAGAGATACCAGATATTCTGGCTAGTACGCGTTCGCCTTTTTAGGCAACTCTCTCGTAAGCTATTATTACGTTCGGCCGTACTTTAGGTCTTTGATAGCTTCGCAGTCAATTAGCGTTAAGGGGCCAACTCTGTTAAAATTTTGATAGCTTCGGCTATATCTCTTTAGTTTAGATTAGTTTAGTTTGATTCTTAATCTCTTAAGTTCAAGCCCAAGTGTCGGTTTTATTGTACAACTCCAAGACGGAGTTCTGTTAAATCTTATTTGAATAATAAAGGGTCTTTTGACTCTTTCCAAGTTTACTTATTGTCTCATGAACTCAATTGATTATTCGCTTAATAGTTCTTAAGATTCTTCACTTTTAACTGTAACTTAGAATTACACAGTGGACAATCCTACATCCTTTAGAATATTAGGTCTTGGAAATCTGCGTTTCTACGCAGATTTCCAAGAGTCTTCAAGAGATTCAGTCTTCTCTTTGGGAAAAAAGTGTTGATCTGAAAAATGAAATTGTCTAGCCTCTGATAAATTTCAGTTTTGTGCCTGAAATTTCATTTAGGCTTTGAAAGCACAAAATATGTTGGAAATAGTTTTAAAACAAGTTTACGTTAAAATGTGATTTAACTAAAACTATACTGAATTTTGTAAAAGAAAAATAGAATAGAAATTAAATTAAAATGAGATACAAATTAATTACATTCACAGAAGAAGTAAAACACGATTATAATTTAATAATTATTTGAAAAACCAAGCATTCGATATTTCTAGAAACTTCTTTTTTTTTTAAATTACCTACATTAAATATTAATTAGCTATATTAAAAAAAAAGATTTAATTTATCAGTTTGGTTGCAATATTAAAATGAGCACATAAACAATAACAAGCGATAATTCTATAGCGCAAATTCTCTAATAGTTTACCGCTAAAATTTCGAAAGATAATAAAAAAACGCTTAAAAAATTAAAAAATATGAAAATCATAAGATCAAAAATAAACTATGATTTTGGAATACATATGTCAATTTAAATACGGAGTCACTAAATTACGATAAGCTTGCAAGTAAAGAATTACTCCACCAGAAATTAAAGAAATTTTATATTTAAATTAATATTAAATTTTTTTAATTTATTAATTACTTATTAATTATTAATTATTTCTTAATTTATTAATTTATTTAATTATTCTATTCATTTTAAATATAAAATTTTATATTTAAAATGAACTTTACAAAATGGCAAAGCCAAATGGTGGAAAAAATTTATATTATTATTTCGTCGTAAATTAATACCATGCGGAGACTTATAAACTTAAAACGCTTAATTATTCAAGACATAATTGTGTGTTTATTTCACTGCATCGCTTGTGCACAGTATTTGCAGCAAATATTTCCCTCAGCTGACAATTTTTTTAATATTTTTTTAAGTTTCGAACTTCTCAAAATGAAAGCAATAACCATATATCTAAGAGGTTTTCTTTGAGATCCTTAATAATGGCACATTAAAATGAATGAACGTAGATAAATGCTTTTTTTTTCTTACCTGACTGTGTCGCACTGTGGACCTATATGCACGTGGCCATCTGGCTGCAAAAGCTCTGTCTAACAGCAGTGATGTAACTGCCGAAAGATGGAACGTTCGGGTGGACGTCAGCCCCCAGACTATAAAACGGCATGGAGCTTCTAATGCAGGCCTTATCACACCCAGAACAGCATATCCAAAACTGAAAAGGGCCGACACCACTTCTAAACAAGTCAACGCGAACAAGAAGATGTCCAAAAGTCGCCACTCGGACCGATAACTCCTAAAGATGACCAATGTCCAGCAGGATAGGAGCGTTACAAACGGGGCCACCGCTGCAGCGGCCAGCCAGCTGTAAAGAACTGAATCCATGACTCACTGCATAGTATCCTTAGATCCAAATATGCTTGGTGGAACTTCTATCCTTTTCAATGAAGCTTTTACGTGGTAAACTGGTTTTTGATGTGTAAGAGATATCCAACTATTTAGTGCTTGTCTTCAGGAAGTTTCACATATGAAACAATCCCATACACTGACATTTGCCTGAGAGATTGTACAAATTAAGAAAGTTACGCATCAGAGAAAGCTTAATATCGGTTTAGAAACAGTATTTCACGCATATCATCTCTTCTCAGAATCACAAATCATTTGTGACGTGAAAATGTTAAGACGTAACTGAGATAACGCTACTGTATACATTCCAGCTTATTTACATGTGACTGCCTGGCGAACGCTTCAAGAATGAGTGTGACAGTATGTGACATTGAATGCCATTCATCCGGTGACAGCTACGCATAATCTAACAGTAACGGCGGGTTACGCGTCACAACACTGCACGCGCAAGGCGTGCATAAACAAGTGGACAGCATTCTCCGTAATCCAAAATCATTCTCTGGGCATCGCCAAAACAAATCGCGCTCACTATAAAAGTTTCCCAGTCTGTGTGTCCGAGACAAGGAACGGGTTCCGGACCACGTGACTTCCTCTTCTATTTTCCCCTCCTTCTTTCTGAAGCTGAGAAACGGGTTGCTGGTTTCGAAATTAGATTCCAGCGCTGGTTTCGTATTTGAAGTGGAATTTTAATCTAATAATTCGAGTTAGTTATGTTTTCCGGTTATGGCTCTAAGTTGTTTTAGGTTGTAAGAGGAATAACTTCTTTGTATATATGAGCGCCGCATTTGGATGCTATCACTATCAACATAAAGGACAGCGCAAAAGAGAAGTGACATTTCGTCTTAAAATTGCTTGAAATTATTACAGCATATTAATTTATTTCAATTGTAATAAAAGATATAAATTTAATTACAGTTAGCTTGTATTATGGATGTTAGGAAGCTGAGGTTTTCGGCAGTCAAAATTTGTATTGTAACGTCCTAAAAGTCATTTTCTGCTTAAGAGGAGTTGGAACTCCAAAATCTTCAAAAAATTATTTTGATTTCGGATTTTTTCATTTTCAAATTCTCTACACTTTTATCTTTCTAAAAATACCATTTTTTAATCTCTATGAATATTAGAACTGTAAAAAAATCTAGTTATAATTTGTCATCTACTGCTTTGATCAATGAGGATTTTTACATAAAAATGCGTTTTTCTCCAAACGTAATTTTTTTATACTCGGTGTACCTTTTCTCAGGAAATACTGCTCACAGGTATCTAGACTTTTTATGGCTTATTTATTAGGTTCCCTAATATTTACTGAAATGAGCTTTATATAATAAAATTTTTAAAAATTTTTTTTGTGTGAGAAAAGTGCTAAATTTTACTATGCCTAACAAAATATCCTGTAATTTACTCTAAAATTCAAAATGTTTCAAAAGCTCATTTCAGTATAATCAGATAGGTATACTTTAATTACAGAAAAAATTTCCAGCTTGTATCTACAGCAGATTTTGAGAAAAGATACATCAAAAATGGGCAATTTAACATTGTCGGTATAGGGGTTTCTGATACCTCTTAATCAAAATGTGGAAATTTTTCTTTATAAATCTTAACATTTAACTACCTTTTAACTGATTTTTTAACTTTTTTTACATTTATGATGTAATTTTCTTTAAAAAGATTTATCACATTTTTATTTCCTTGTAAGAAGTAAAAGAAGTATTGTAATCTCAAAAAACTTCGTGTATCATATTTCAATGAAAATATCTATTTTCACCACTCCCGAATCCATCTGTATGACGTTTTTGTCTGACCTCTGTAAGTGCACAGTGTGGCAACATTCTGTGGGATAAGATATTTTTATTTCCTGTGCAAAAGACTGTCTGTAGGAAATTATTAAGATATGCTGTTTTTAAATATTTTAGCCCAAAAAGGCGTTAGACCAAATGCTCTGGAAACGTGTATTTATGTGGAAATGGAAAAAAAAGGGGGTGACCCTTTAACGTGATACAAAATCTGAAAGCTTTCAGATTTAAAAAAAAAAAAAAAAAAAAATTTCTTTTCAAACTTTTTTTCATATAATTTCAAACGGAGAGTTAAATCATGTAAGGAATATGAATCTTCATAAACGGCATGCGTTTAGTAATGTAACTGGAGAATATTTCACCAATTTTCTTAAAATATAAAATATTTCTGGCGTTCATTAAAGCAATATAGCGTTTTTGCTTCGAGTAGATATTGCATACACGAATCTACATACAAATAACAACATTTACATGCACGAAAATCTTCATTCTTAAAAAAAGAGGGTTGAAGGGGGAAAAAATCTGGAATTTTTCAGGTTTTATAATACCCCCAAAAGGGCCTTTTTTTAACGGTTAGTGTGTTACCTTTATTTATTAAATATCATGTTCTTCGCGCTTAAACGATAAAACTCAATTCAACAGTAATCTCGCAAAATAATTTAATCTTCAGAATTTCCGATACACAGTCTCGCTCACTGGAGATAAAAATGTTTTTTTTTAGGGGGGGAATACCGTGTTGCCATTGCTCGCTTTAAAATCGTTGAGTTTGTTATTCAAAAATTCGTTCAAGTTTTAAAAAATATGAAATAGATAATAAAACCAATTCCAAATTCGGGCTTCCCGATGCCCATATTCGTGTGGAGGACTACGTTATTCAAAATTTGATGTCTCTAAATACCTTTGCTCTTTCACAGTGCGAAAAAACTACATACATATATACAGATTTTTCATTATTTAATTTCTTTAAGTATTATGCAGGGCACTAATATTGGGTGGCAACAATTTGAAAAGTGAAACACCGTTTATAGCGAACCAACACAAAATGCCCAAACGAAATTAATAGCCCTTCTCGGCAAATTGACCCTTTGGCCTAAAAAGATTAAATTCCTATTTTTCGTCATAATAAAAAGTTCGTAGGACAATCTTCGAATAAAACGAGTATTTTTTTCTTACAGGAGTGATGTTTCTTGAACGGGCAACTGTATATTACCTTCACAAGAATTAAATTCATTCAAAATTTGCGTAGAAGCTTTCCGAATAGCATTACTTATATGAGGAAACGGAGAACTTGTTTACAAAAACCATAGTTTATAATGAAATATGTAGTTAAAATGAAAGTAAATCGTTGTTATAAATTTTAAAGCATAGAGCTTAATTTTTAAGCGCGTTTTTGATTTCGAACATCACTACATAATTGTTCCTATTTCCAGTCTTTGCAATTTGCAGTCTACACGTCTGGTAAATAGAACATCGAATAAGAAATTATTTTTAATCCAAAGGGGCAATTTTCCCTGAAGGACGATTAATTTTGTTTTGGCATTTTGCGTCGAAACCTTTAAAAAAAAGCTGTAGCACTTTCCAAATCGTTGCCACTAAGTATTATCTCCCCGTATTATATTTGAAGAAATTAAATAATGAAGAATCTGCATAAATGTATGTATGTTTCTCTCATTGTGATAAAACAACGCTATTACAGCCATCCAGTTTTTGAATGACGTAATCCTACTGAGAATATGGGCATCTGAGAGCCCAAATTTTAAATTTGGAATTTGTTTTATAATCGATTTCATATTTTGTAAAATTTTAACGAAATTTTGATAAACAAGCTCAAGGATTTCAAAGCGAGCCATGGCAACGTTGTGCAGAAAAAACATTTTTATCTCCAGCGCGTGACTGTGTATCGGAAATTCTAAAGATAGGCTCATTTTAAAATTATTTTGCGATATTGCTCTCGAAGACTCGGGTGTTAGAAACACTTGTCAGCAGGCACCCGGGTTATAAAACCACATCCTGTGTTGAACACGTACGAAAATAGTATATCTTTTCTATCCTAACGTGACAAAGTTCTTAGTTTTAGAGATGAAAATCTCGTGAAAGTGCGATACTGAATTTTACGGTTTAAGTGCGAAGAACATGATATTTAATGAATAAAGGTAACACACAAAATGTTAAAAAAAATGCTCCTTTGGACGTAATTTAAAATCTCAAACCTTTCAGATTTTTTTAATATTATTTTATTTTTTCAAAGCCACTCAGTAATATTTTATAGAATGAATTATGAATTATCACTTAAATTTTAATACATGATTATTTGTTCACTCTGTCTTACATCTTTCAATTTAATCATTTCTCGCATACAGCGAAATATGATATTATCTTAGATAATGGTTGAAACCGTCTGTAAAAAAACTAAAGAGAAAACTGACGCTAATGATAAAAATTTTTCTAAATAAGTTTAAACTTCGTTTTCAGTTTTATTGCAGCGCCATCTATCCACTGAAACTGGAAATAAAAAGTAATCGTGCGTTTCTTTAGTTAAAAGCCAAAGATTTCTTTTCAACACTCAGAACCGGATTTAGACTTGATAATACTGATAAGGCCCTAAGCTATTTCAGATATGGGGCCCTTTATAAGTTTGTTATACTATATTTTAATACTATATTTGTTCTATATTTTAATTTTTTTGGAGGGGGGCTAAGCTTTAGAGTGATGACAATTAGAGTGAATCTCTAAAACTAAAAGAATTTAAATATCTTAGAAAACACATTGCATGAATAAGAACGTTTTCCTTAACAAAACATTATAAAGATAATTATTGTATTTTTAAGTAAAATTTTTCTTTGAATCAAGTAAGAGTAACCAGATTTGCATAACTTGATGAATCTACCAGTCTTAAATGAACAGTAGTAAATATAAAGCCGAAAAGACTTTTTTCTCCTAATTTATGTTCTTCTTTTTCTTTTAAACCACTAAAGCAAATAGTTTCTTTTCTCTAGGTTTACCAACTGTACAATTTTGCAAGAAATTAAAACAAAGAAAAAGAAAAAAAAAAAAAATCTATCAAAATGCATAAATACATAGCTGCGTAGTGGTCTTAATGAGGAAGTCTAAGCTAAGAGCAGCCATTGGATTCCCCAGCTTCCGTATGCAGCTAAAATCAATTAAATGCAGATAAATTTCATTTTTCAGTTTGATTTCACAGTTCCGAAATATCTCCAGATTCGTAGAAGTATCTTATCACTGAAATTGATTCTTGTTAATTAATTGCAAACAAACTTCCTTTAAAAAAATAATTAGAAAATGCAATTTCTTCCAGAAAGGGGATAAGTTGCAACCTATCAAGGAGTAATGAAAAGAACAATGACGCAGTTTCTGTCCAAAAGTGATGTTTTTCATGCTTGGATATGCTGGTAGAAACTTCAAATATCCATCTTCCTTTGCATCAAAAAGCAGGAAATATGACTTGTTGTTTATATGTTCTTAAAAATATGTTTTATTCTTAAAAATGTCATCACCTTTTAGATTGCCTTGAATTAGTTACCTGCTATTTAAGTCGGCATGTGCATGTGCAAGCATGTGATTAACTGTTCTAACTCAAAAATAGTCCATTTATGCTCTTTGGTGTCCGCAGCTTAAGTAGTCAGGGTTCAAGGCAACAGAGAAAAATATATCACCGTATAAAATTCTCATCAGTTTTCGAAATTGCGAAATGCAATCGCAGTGACAACAATCTGTAGA